GTAACAACACGGGTACTTATCAAAACCTGATTAATAGTGATGGTTACATAACTCACTAAACTTACTAAAATCATTAAGTTATAATATTTATGATATGTAATATATACCTCAATAAAATTATTTTTAAAAAGACAGAGTTGTTTTAAAAAGCTAGAAACACAGGTATATCTAAGGACACAAAACAATGAATTTTAGATTACTATACTTGTTTGAGATTCAAAAGTTTATCAGTTAAAATGATAAGAATTAAAATTGTATCTACTTGAATATGTTCATATAATATGATCAATGTACATATGTGAGTAAAGGATAGTGACATCAAAAGTGACAAAACATTCTGTATGTGAAAATAATTATGGTGCTAAAAAAACTAACTCATTGTAGTAGTAATTAAGGGAGCCTGGTTGCAATTAAGTACAGGAAGGATATTAAAACTTCCAAAAGATATTTCTGTAAGCCACAACAGAAGAATAGAGCAATAGAATAAGTAGAACCACATCTAAACCCACTTCCTTGTTATTTACCAACGTCATCTAAAGAACACTGTTTAGATGCTGATGTTAGTTGTCTTGACTAGACAAATTTAAATCATATTCAGACTAAAAAAAAAAAATCAAAAGAATTTTTGAAAAGGGTTAAAAGTTATAGCCTTAAAACTATAAAAAATGTAGTGCCCACTACAAACCACATCCTGGCAATTGTCATGTCTCTATAATGAACTACTTGAAATGGTTTTGTTGTGGCTGAGGCAATCGTTTCTGAGTTAATAATCAGCTACTATTCCAATCGGGTGCAAATTGTCTTTTTTACACTAGATCACTTTTAAGAGGAGTATAACAATTTAATTTTTAGCAACTAATGTTCAATGTTATAATCATTCGTCATTCCATATAATATAATCAAAATGAGTAGAAAAGTATGTTTTTTACTACTGCATGAAATTGTATTCATTTTCCAGGCAGCTGAAATTAAGTTCAAATGTTATCTGCTTAATGCAGGTGAACATTTATATCCAAAAAAAGAATTTTTTTTTAATTTAAAAAAAGGTGAAGTTTCCTGTTATGCTTTTTAAAAAGTACCTAGAAATAGCACTCCTTATTTACATAAAGTAGATTTTAACCATATTGTGGTTGGTTTTTGGATCTAGAATTTATAAGTGTTATCTTAAATTGAAAGACAAATTGAAGTCAGTCAAGGTTTATCTATTATGAAAAGTTATAATAATTATGATAAAATAATTATGTTGTTAGTCAACTTTTTAATCTCAACACATTACTAACAGTGAATTATTTTTTCAATAACCGAATAAAATTAATGCTTTTTGTCATCATATTTTCTGATTTACAAAGTATTTTTCACATCCTTTATTGCATTAGATCCTAAAAACAACCCTCTACATTAGGAGAGTAAATATTTGTGGATTGCTTGCTTTCCCCAGCATCCATTTCCCTCTCTTACTGCCAAAAAATAACCATACCATTCTTTGAGGAATCACCTGCCCCCCAGTCTCAGCCATCGACGGTTTGGGTGGAGTTAACCCCATCCTCTAGACAGGAATCTTAGCCGCTCAGTGGTTCTATCTTTCAGGCCCATTTATCAGTTAGGAATGGTCCACTGAACCAGTGAAATTAGTTCTTGCTTTCTGGAACTTCCTAGCGAAACGGGACTTGCCCTTTCTCTCAATA